AATGTGGCATCCAGTCAAATCCAGAATACTGCGTACGCAAAAAAAAAAAAAAAAAAATCCAGATGTAGGCCTATCAAACTGTGCGTATACCTGAATCTACGCACATTTTTTTTGTACAATGTGGAACTGAGCACATGTGACACACCTTCATTTACATGTTAAATAGATGCAAATTACTTCCTGCATGTGTGAAGGACACGTTCGTTTGATCCCTGTGCGATCAGAAATGATTTATAGATTTAGGAAAATAATGAATTAAATACAATGTGAGTGAGAAAAAAAAACCCTAAGTAAGGATAGGAGTAAATATATTTGTCAAAATGAATGAGTGATTGTGTATCTGTGTGTGCGTTAATGCGAAATGCTAACTTTACGCAGGAGTTAATATAGCATAATTACTGTAAACACAGAGGAACTCAGCTGTTTAGTAGAACATAGATCTTTGTTTATTTAATACATGATATAAAGAAATGAGTCTCTGTGTCTCAGTGGAGAGTTTTCATGACGTCACATGATGKTGGCCATTTAAATGTATGGATGAGACCATACCATCAAGCATGGCTTGGGTCGACTCGGCTCAGGGTAGACTGGGACAGTCCCGATCGGTCTGCCAGCTCTCTCTGGAAAGCCCATGTGGAACCCCAGCGTGAGCGCTGCTGCTGCACGTGCACACACAGTGCACGGCTCGTCCCTGTGTGTCACGCTCTCAGAGCGCCGCAGCTCCAACAAGATGCGAAATGATTATTGTTAGAATCTGAAAACAGCTGATGAGCCGTCATTGTGGATCATAAAATCCTCTTTGCTCTGTGTGTTTCACTATTTTTTATATCCTCCAGTAAGGCTGGATCTGTCCCTGTTAAAAGTATTTTTGGCACAACTTTGCACGTCCTTTATTTAACGGCGTCCATGTGGATGTTATAATTGTTAATCATGTGGATGTAATAAGTGTTAATCATGTGGATGTAATAATTGTTAATCATGTGGATGTAATATTTGTTAATCATGTGGATGTAATAATTGTTAATCATGTGGATGTAATAATTGTTAATCATGTAGATGTAATAATTGTTAATCATGTGTGTCTGCTGTGAACAATAATCATTTTCACACCTTGAACAGTTTCTCAGAATCACCTCTAAGTGTCACTAAGGAAACCAGAACAGAAACGTGTGACTCCAGCCCTGGAGTTGGCGTGGGGCTGCACACATTTCCACCTTCATTTCAGTTTTGACACATCTGGAGTTTTGTGTGAAAAAGGGCGACGCAGGGTTTTTGTGCGTACGTTAATACATGAGGCCCCTGGACTCATCAGACCTGCTTCACGCTGCAGAGGAAAGTCTATTATTCGTTTCCTTTAGTTCAGAGGGATTCTGTGCTCGAGGTTATAGATGCATAAATAATTGCTGAAAGCTCTGCAGCTCTCTGAGTCGTTATCAGATGGAACTGGGAGGTGTTAACAAGGACCWTCAGGAACTCACCGGTCTAAGTGGAGTTTCTGGGCTAAGAGCTGCCAGTCCTTGCCCGTAGCGTTGGCAGTGTCGAAGGTAGCACAGATCCTCTGGCGGATGGACACGGGRACTTTGAAGGCCCTGGGCCCCGTTTGGGCTGTGACGGTGCAGTCTGTCTGCATAAAATAAGGAACTGGATCCTTGTCCCCCTGGCAGGACAGAACAGAAGAACAGTATCAGAGACAAGTCCAACAGCTGCAGCTGGACGAGGCTTTACTGGGTCAGAACCTCTCACACAGCATGTTTAACAGTTTGACCTGAGAGCTGGGACGTTTAGTCCAGGTGGGTCGGACTAAACTGGTAGGACTTCTAWGGATGTTTTTGTAAAGCAGCTTTGTGAAGCTGTTACAGTCAGGTGGAGAATCAGTGGAAGAAAACCTTCAGCTGCTGTTTCTCCACACAGTAATGTAAAAACTGTTAAGAGCAGAGAGAAAAGCAGTGCTGATGAACACATGGTGGCAGTATCGTCTCACTTCATTCTCTCACAGTAAACCTGATGTGGAGGAGGAGACAGAGAACAGAAAGCTCTGCTGACTGTCCACATCTCTTAAAAGCTTTTTGAACTTCTGCTGCTTCTGTGAGAAAGTTAAACTTTCTCTGTCTGGGAGCTAAAAATGTCCGCAAGTCAAGGAGGTTGTTTGGAGCTCACACCCAATGGGAGGAGAGTCACTTACCTGCTGTGGTTCTGCTGTGGACAGAAGATGGACTCTGCAGCCCGGCTTCCTGWTGCTGGAACTCTCAGCAGCTTCACCACAGCCTTACACTAACCTTTCTGTTTCTGTGTGCCAGCTGTTCTGGAGAGTTTGATAAATTCATCCTATGATGCTTTTAAATCCTTTCCACATTTCAGTCCTTCAGGTGGGGTCTGTATGAAGTGGAACTGCCATGTTTTGGTCTGAATTCCTCCTTATTCTAACTCCACAAGCTCCGCCCCTTTTCTGAGGCCTGTCTTAGATCAACTTGTTTTGAGACTGTCTCTTTTAAATCGACCCTCCCCCTTACAGACCCAGAGGAGAATGAAGACAAGACCTTTTATGACCCCTGCTGTATCCTGTTTTAGTACTGTTTATTTATTTATTTTTATTTTTCAGAGATTTATTGTCAACTATATAGAAACAGCTGCACCTAGCAGCATGACATTTGGTAGGGATGTAGATGTGGCCCACCTACACTGTGCTAGCACACAGTTTTGCAATAGACCTCATATTTCAAGTGGGGGCACTATTTCAAAAGTTGGTGTCTGGACATACAAAATTGCTTACAGCTCAAAAACTATTCAACATAGGAACTTCAGATTTTGTTGTTTAGCTCTGATGAAGGCCAATCATCTCATGACATCATCATGTGTTTCTATGCAGCTGTTTCCTGGTAGTAGACAACAGAATTAAAATATGACTGAAAATTGTTATTTATCTTTACATCCATACACATGATCAGATCTTGATGAAATTTGGCACAGATGTTGTCCTATCTGACCTACACTGAAGAGTCCAACAGCTCCATATGTATGTTTATCACCTCCACCCAAAACAGCTTCTACTCAAAACATCTCTGTGGATCATTTCTATATTTGTATAATATCTACAGTACAATTTCCTGGAGAAATTAGTACATATATGACATTGTTCCAGAGGAAGGTGCACCTGGACCAGTCCTTACAAGCCATGTTTCCATCCAATTTTAATTCAAAATTTGAGCAAATGTTTGAAATTTCGCAAAAAAGGAAAAAATGAAGAAATGCGAATCAGATGTGTTTCCACCAATTGGCTTGAAGTAAATCAATTACGTCAGACACATGTGTGTAGTAAACAGGAAGTAAAAGTCAAAAACTCACAGGGTCCAAACATCTCAGGACAATGGAGAGAAGTTATCAGGAACATGKTGCTACTATCAGGAAAGTTGTAATTATTCTGTCATATTCTGGCAATTTTACATGCTGTCTGGATACGTAGAGAAAGAAATGTAATTCTCTTCACGTTACGGGAATAACTGAGAATATGCACAGCTGGAGGAGGGTCCATCTGCAGTCGCTCTGGTACCGGTCCAGTACCAGACAGACAGCGAGAACAGCTGATCAACCATGTGAGGTAAATGTTTGCTACGTCAGAACTTATTTGGCAAATGTGTTTCCATTTCTCCTTTTGTGCATTAACTCTTTTTTGAAAAACCCAAAAACTACCTTAAGMGAGCGTATCAACTTTTATAAGAATTAGAGGAAGTTTTTTCAAATCATGCCATTTCCATTCACCTTTTTTGATGCAATACTTCAAAATGTGCATTAAAAATCTTTGATGGAAACACGGCTTGATTCTCTTTGTCTCTTTCCTGACCCCCCAAACCCAGCCGGTCGAGGCAGATGGCCGCCTGTCCTGAGCCTGGTTCTGGTTCTGCTGGAGGTTTCTTCCTGTTAAATGGAGTTTTTTTCTCTCCAATCACTAATGTGCTTCTCAGGATGGGAGACTGTGAAGAAGTGATTCAGCACAATCTGCTGCTTCTTTAGATTGTTTCTGTGTACACTGCCCTGAGAGGACGTATGTTGTGACTCTGCACTATGTAAATAAACTGAAATGAATTGACATGATGCATGTGAATGTGRTTCGTTTCATTATAACTCTATAGACTCCAGTAGACTGAGGACAGATCTGTTTTTTCTGTTTTCTATCAACAAAATATTTTACTTGTAATGACCATTCCAAGGTCCCTTCTCTCACCAGAACATCTTAAACAGCTGTGACCCGTATGTGAGTTCTGGTGTGTGGGTGCTTTATGTACTTCTGGAGCTCATTAWGCTATCACTATGCAGTATCCAGTTAAACTGTGATGTAGTATTTCAGAAAACATAACAGAAAATAAACAAAACTGAACGGGTTAAAAATATGACTCAAACAGAATATAAAGATATCTTTGTAGCATAAAGGACTGAAGACATGTTTGTCTCAGTCTGAGGATAAAATGAGTTTTTTTACTTGTTTTTCACTGCTGATCTCAGATCATCAAACATCTAGTGTTTGCAGAAGACAGAGCACACATTAACAGGGCTGTTTGGATATTACAGCCAGCGTCTCAGTGGGCTGCAGCTGCTGGAGACGAGCTGCTGAACAGAATTCATGACAAGTTTCCAGAATGACTCAAACCTGTTTGTGGTATTTTTTATTTTTTTTTGCTGGAGGTGGGGTGCAGGTTGTGGTGAAAGTGAACATGCAGCCGGCATAAATGTCTCCCTGGATAAATACAGGTTACAGGAGCCGCAGAGTGAACGGAGGGAGGGGTCAGAGCTCACCACGCTCCACACACATCTGTGCAGAGAGGAACACAGCAGKGCTCCAGGAGCTGTATTAATACACAGAACATGTCCTCCCCCCACACCCCACCAGTCCAGGACTCGCTGCAGGAAGCAAGGTTACACAAAGGTTGAAGCTCACCTCAGCCACGGCCGTGTAGACCTGCAGGATCTGCTCCTGACCTTTGACCTGGCGCACGCTGAGTTTGCAGGAGAGCTGAGTGGTGGCGGGGCTGGATCTCTCCAGTGAGAAGGCACAGTGCAGGGGCTGCTGGTTGCTGCACCACACTTGGGGGAAGGAGAACTCCTGAGGAGGCAGAAAGAAGACAGAAAAAGAAAGATGAGAATGAGAGCTCAGAGCTCTCTGAGGTCAGGGTTTCATTCAGTCTYGTCTGTTCCTCCACATCCTCATTTAAGAGTGGACACACTCGGTCCTTGAAACAGTTTTGTGTAGAAAAGCTAAAGGATTGGATGGTGGGGATGTTCGGGCCCTCAGGGGCCACTGCAKTAAAAACAAGTCTGGCTGGGTTCTGGACATCACTGCATGGACTCCACACATCATCTGTACCACAGTTCACTGTGCCCTCCACTAATGCTGCTTAAAGCTCTATCAGGCAAAGAAGAAGCCAGATGTGAACATTCAGAACTGCTGCCTTCTGCTCTGGACCAAAGATCCTTTAAACAGACTGGAGATCTGTAAACCACAGACTGGATCCATCAGCAGGACTGTGTCGTAGAACTGGCCTGACCCCCCTGCAGTCCAGACCTCTCACCAAATAAAACAAAAACCTTTTGATCCAGCAAAGAAGAACCAGATGAACAGTTAGAGCCCTCCATCAGAACAAGACAACATTCTCCTCCGAAATCTCCAGAACTGGTCTCAGCTCCAGAACTGGTCTCAGCTCCAGAACTGGTCTCGGGTCTATGGACATGTCCAGTCTGGTGTTGGGAGACAAAGGGAATATTTACAGCACAAACAGATCTTTTCTAATGTTTTTAAAATGGTTTTCCACAACATTCTAAAGTTTACTTGCCTTTTTTTAACTGAAATTGTAGAATTTCTGATTTTATCACTTTGATATCTTTACTATGAACCATTATGAATAAAATATGGGTTCATGAGGTCTAAAATTGTGTTTTTAGTTATGTTTGACCCATCTTCTGGACTCTGCTGGACTGGATGGTCCAGGATAATGAACTTCAGAGAACAGAGTCATGAATGAAGAGATGTCTGTGACCCCACAGATTCATATCTGCACAGTAAAAGAGGTGTATGAAGCCTAAAACTGAGACCTGAGTGTTTCTGATGAGAGCTGCTCGTGGCTTCTGATAATGATGGAGGAGGAGGAGGACAGCTTGTAGCTGCTGCTCACTGATGTATAGTTCAGCTTTTATTCTCCACCTGCTGCTTGTAAACCTGCCACAGGCCTCCATATATAAGCTCTGTGTGTGTGTGTGTGTGTGTGTGTGTGTGTGTGTGTAAAAGACTGCTCTTTCCAGCAGTCTTTTACTGACGACTGTGAGATGAGAAAGATTTTGCATAAAACCAGTTATTTTGCTGACATCGTCAGATTGTCTGCAGGAGGTTTATTATGACCCCCTCACGTGAAGCATAAGCAGGAGTCATATTGTTTTCGTACTGTATTTTTTTGTTTGTTTGTTTTCTCCGGAGATTTTTGGTCAACCAAAAACAGCTGCACCAATCAACATGAAACTTGGCAGGACTGTAGATGAGTCTGACCTACACTGCGCCAGCCAACGGTTTTATGATAGACCCCATATTTGAGGAGGGGGCTCCTTTCAAAGAGGGGGTGTCTGGACATGAAAAAATGTTTATAACTCAGAAACTGTTCAACATAGAATCTTCAGATTTCTTTTGTTGTTTAGCTCTGATGAAACTCTATCCATCAGGCCCACCAATCAGTGCCCCCCCCCCCCCCGGACCCCCAATTTATCTGAAAAAGGGGTGTCTAGACATACAAAAATGGTTATTGCTTAAAAACTATTAAGCATAGGAGCTTCAAAATTTTTTTGGTTGTTTAGCTCTGATGAGGGGCTATCCATCAGGTCAACCAATGCCCCCCCCAAAAAAAGAAAGACCCCCTCCCAAACCACTACAATTTTGGGATGTACCTAGTAGCATGTTTCTCACGACATTTATTAGGAATAAAGACTTCTGAGTTCCGGTGCATTTCTGCGTGYGGKGGTCATTATGTTACKGCTATSCKGTATCTAGTTGTTTTWATTTTARAAGCTCCTGTCTGACCTGCTGAAGCTCTTTCAGAGGGGTCTGAGGCGTCTTGATGGTCTCACTCTATTCTCCTTGTTGTCACTCACTGTTTGTGAGGATGACCTGTGCTGGTAGACGTACATGTTCCTTCTGGTTCTTTAACAGAACTCCTGACTTTTTCTTTTAGTCATTCTTTTCTCTGCGTTGACGTAGGAAAATCCCTTTAAAGGAGGAGAATATTTATGCAGTCACTCATTTTAACTTACATAATTTTTTTCCTTTCAATTACTATGTAATAATTTAATTTCACTTTCACAGTGTAGAAGATTAGTATGTGTTTTGTTTGAAATGACTTGTCTGGTCCAGAACCAAAGCAGATTCTACATCTTGCTGTGCTTCCTGCTTCTGGTTTCTAACAGGTTCTGCAGTATATGACAGATATTCTTTTCTTGTTGTGAAAAGACAAAAGCAAGCAGAATTTTTCACGTTTCTCTGATTTTATTTGTTGGATCGATGTATTTCAGAGCAAAGAGTGTAAACAGCTATGTTGAATGCTCCGTTTCCTGTTTTAGGTTTTGGTAAATCATGCTGTGGGAAGAAAAGCCGGCTCTGACGGACCTGATTTGAATCCTCTATTGCACAGAAACAATTAACAGGAAGTTGTCTTTCAAGACTTATTGAAAGTCTGGATTATTTTATCTGGGCTTTAGAGTAGAACCACAGAGAAACCTCCACAGTCTCCTGTCCTGATAGGAGCTTCTTCAGTCCTTCAATCAACCAGCAGAATCGATGGTCCAAGTCTCCTCAGCTGATGGACCTGAGTCCTGGTACAGGTTCTTGTTTAGCCCAGAGTGGGGACAGTAAATTCTCACTTGTTTTCCTGTAGTTTGCTGATCGTTGTTGTTAAAGTCAGCTTCAGCTGCCAGGTGCTGCTGGGRCAGGTTGATCGGGGTCCATAAAGTTACCTGGGATGGTAAAAGTTCCAACTCTGAAGTTGACCCTGATCCAAACTCTGGTTCTGTCCTTTATACTGCAGACCGATTGGATGGTGATAACTCCATCATCCAATCAGAGTCCAGATGTGGCTCTGCACCGTTTAGCAGCTGAATGAGTCTGGACTGTCTTAGGGTGTATTCAGACCAGGAAAGTCCTTTGGTCCGCTTGTTTGGTCCAGACCAAAAGTGGACTTTATTTTTTTTCGTTTGGTGCGGTTTGCATTCACATTGTGTTTTTTTGCAAATGAACTATAACTTGTAAACAAAGYCACGAGGGTGACGATCATTGCTCCCATTGGACAGAAAGGACGGGGGCGGGACTAAGCGCACAGACCCAGAAGAAAACAAGGAAGTCCTGCATGCTGCGGTTCTGATGCGCACATTTTTACTGATAGTACAACTGCAATAGCATTTAAAATGTCAGAAGCAGCTAATTTAATGGTGGTTTCGTGATGAAATTCTAATTTTGGAGCAGCATCAGTAAATGTGTCCCGCGGCCCAAAGGAGACGAGGTGCTCTGCGTGTTCTGACCCACAACATGCTGGCAGCAGAGCTGCTAACAGGAGACGACGAAACAGGTATGATTTCAGTGGACTGGAACATGTTCAGGGAGGATGCTACCCACAACAACACCACAGACATCCAGGAGCCAGTAGCGTGAACAGACATTTTCGGGGGCAGGTGCTCAAATGTAAAAAGAGGGCACCTTGTCCGGTGCACGGAATCAGCAGCTG